TGATACGTACAGCATTATCTCATTTTCATTAATTTTTAATAGAAACAAAAACGCAACTATATATTGTGCATGGATACATGTATATAAAAGTATTTTGCATTCATGGGAGCAAAATGACTAAATTTGTGACAGTGGTTACTTCTGAGGTCGGAAGGGGTAGGGGGAAATGGAGCCTGGGATGGGTACAAAGGAAATCGCATTTTTGTCTGAAACGTTTTATTTCTCTTATTAACCAAAAAAAAAAAAACCGAAATGTTTTGCCATCGAGTCAATTCCGACTCATAGCGACCCTATAGGACAGGGTAGAACTGCCCCATAGTGTTTCCAAGCAGTAGCTAGTGGATTTGAACTGCCGACCTTTTGGTTAGCAGCCAAGCTCTTAACCACTCCACCACCTAGATGTCCCTCAAGACCATGATCCGCAGCCCTCAGCCCCAGTAACTTGGTCCCTCGAGGTGTTTGGATGTGTCTAGGACGTTTCTATGGCTTTGCAGAGTCTTTAAAAATTTGTTGACAAAATGTTAACAATAGTCATTTCTGGATGGCTGGTACTAGGTGTTTGTTATATTATTCTATGTGTCTTTCTCTGTGTTTTTATTTCCTTGACAAAGAAAAATCAAGGATACAAACTATAGATTCTTCAGGTGGAAGGGTCATTTTCAGAGAATATGCTTTCCAAAGTCCTTTAGAATGAGAATCCAAGAACTCAGTCAAAGGTCACATCATAGGGCATGAGACAATCTTGATCAGTTATATAAAAATGAAGAACAGTTGTTGGGGTATATTGAAAATGTTCATGGCAGTATGCATCTCATTTGCAATAGAATTTATCCCTGGCCTTTGGTGTAAGACGGCATTTGTCTCTAGTTATAGTAGACCCACAGCTGGTAAATGACCTTTCGATCCTTCTTTCAAGAGAATTTTTGCCAAGGTTGTTGGAATCAACATATGTTCAAGATTATAGTGATGTAACCCAGTTTCTTTTGCTGAACACGGTAGCTCCTTCTCAGAAAAGCTTCAGCTTTTCATTGCAATGGGACTAGATAAAGACCTTTTGAAAAGGAACTGATTTATTCCATTGGGAATGAATGTCTAAGTCCTGTAGTCCATTTCAGCAGCCTGACTACAGGAAAGAAGTAGTCTCAAGGAACTGAGGACTCATCAATGAAACTTGGCATAATTCTGCCACAAGACTCCACCACCTTATCTCCCTTCTTCTTGCAATCATCTAAAGACCCCAGGAAACCCCTTCAGGAAATTCCCCCTCATTCTTGCAAATTTTAGCTCCTGGCTCACAGTCACTGGTTTCAAAACTCTTCCTGTCATACTTCAGAGTAATTTCAATGTCCATGTGGATGATCCTTTTAACACCTCTTGGTTCTTTATCCTCCTCTTCTCCAGTGAGCTTGTCCTTCATCATACCTCAGTCAGCCACTCCCGTTGTCATTATCCCAGCCTCCACCACAGTCTAGGTTGTTACCCTCCTCACTCCACTGTGTCCTGATTTCCACCCCACCCAGCTTGGATTCCATGGTTCATCAGTATGGTCACACCCTTGCCTACATCCTCAACTGTCTTGTCCCTCTCTCCCTTCATAGTCCTCACTTGGCCAACCCTACCCAACCCTCCCACCCCCACACCCGGCTAGTGAAATCCAACTCCTGCTCTGCATCTCTCCTGGGGAGCTGAGTGTGGCTGGGGAAAAAACACAACCAAGCAGAGAGATCTCACTTTTAATTCCTTTAGTTCACGTGGGCCCTAGGCACTCCCGACAACCCTGCTACCTTTCCCTAACCCATTCACACGTCCACTCTCCTAGATGACCATTTTACACCTTCTTCTCTTCTCTTGGAAACCCTGGTGGCATAGTGGTTAAGAGCTACGGCTGTTAACCAAAAGGTCGGCAGTTTGAATCCACCAGGAGCTCCTTGGAAGCCCTATGGGGCAGTTCTACTCTGTCGTATAGGGTCACTATGAGTCGGAATGGACTCAATGGCCACGATTTTTTTTTTTTTTTTCCCATCTTCTCTCAAACTTCCCCATCCACATTTCCTGCTGGTGACCTTGTTTCCTATTTCACTAAGAATATATACACGATCAGAAGAAAAATAGCACACCTCTCACCACCTCATCTACTAACCTACCTGCATCTGTCTTCCCCCTCTAACTGGAAGGAACCATACATGCTGATCCCTTCCAGCTGTGCCTTCGATCAGATCCCCCCCCCCCCCGCTTGCCTGCTCAAGGACCTCACTACTGCAATTCTCCCTGTCTGCCACTTTATCAGTTTTGCCCTCCCTTTAGAATCACTGCTATCCACATACGAACATGCATTAATCTAGTCCTTTTTAAAAAATCCCCTTGACCACATTTCTCTGTCCAAACATCACCATATGACTCTGTTCACCTTTACAGCAAAACTCCTTGAAAGGCTTGTCTTTGTTCATTATCACCAATTCCTCTCGTCCTGTTTTCTCTTGATCCTTCCTCTAGTGCCACCAAACCAGCTCTTGTTAAGGTCTAAGGTCACCCATGACCTGATTGCTAAACTAACCTCTGTGTTGCTAAATCCAGTGATCATTTCTTGGTCTTCATCTCCCTTGACTCAGCAGCAGCACCTGACTCAGTTGATCAGTCCTTACTCCTTGACGCACTCTCTTCACTTGACTTCTGGGCACCAAACCCGTTCGGTTGCCTCCTACTTACTGACTCAGTCTCTAATGTTGAGTCATCTCAGCTCCCAGACTGATGACTTCGGAGTATGCCAGGACTCTACCCATAGATCACTTCCCTTTTTTTATCTGGAGTGCTGGTGGCACAGTGGTTAAGACCTCAGCTACTAACCAAAATGTCGGCAGTTTGAATCCACCGGCTGCTCCTTGAAAACCCTATAGGACAATTCTACTCTGTCCTAAAGGGTTGCTATGAGTCACTCACTCTGTGGGTGATCTCACCAAGTCTCATAGCATTAAATTACCATCTATATACAGTTTATCTATACATTTATATAAATAGTCTTTATCCATCCAAGAAAAATCCAAATTAAATTACTTTAGTTTAATTTTTTTTCTTAAGCAGAAAGTTTTCAGTAATTCACAAAAGAGCTTACTTAACTTTAGGAATACAGACATGGCGTCACATTTTGATAACGATCTGATCATGGGATCAGTAGAGGTTGCGTGCAAAAACAAACAAACAAAGAAAACAAAAAAAAAACAGGGAAGTTCTACAACAGATATCTCAGTGAGAATTTTCAAAATTCTCAGTGAGAATTGAAATGGCATTTTCTGCTATTAGCTTCTTAGGCTGTGGCTTTGGAGCGTCTAGTATTCACATCATTAAGCTAAACTGCTATCAATTAGACTGTTATCATGGCAAAGCCAAAAGATCCCCCTTTCAGAGATTACTACATTACAGTTTCTACCATGGGGTGTGTGTTTGCGTTGGACACAAAAGTTAAATAGCACTGAAACACTTCATCTTACCGTAGAAACAAAAATTCATGGCACTGAAGTCATTAACGTGGGGAAGCCTTATTAAAGTATCTAGGTATTGATCCTGGAGTCTGAGGTAGTTAATTAAGATTAATATAAACCAACCAGAGTTTTGTTTGCATTTTTCAAAAACCACTGACCTTTATCAGATGAAAGTTTTTACAGAGTGAAATTTTTACGTTATTCACTGGGGAACTTATCCAGTTGCAAGAGTGAAACAAAAATGATTAAGACTTTATGATGGAACAACTTGAATGATAAATTGAAAGATGGTGTGAACTGGTAAAGGAATGGGGGCTTTTGCCACCTGAGAATCTTACTAAATACTTTGTAGCCATTTTTTTTTTTTCCTACCTACTCTGGGAACAAGGAGAGAAGAATTATATGGAGGAAATTGTGGTAAAGAAAGCCTTATGAGAAAGTGAAAGTATATCTGTTTAATTATTAGCACATTGTGTATCAGGGCCACCTGGCATATAAAGTTTTTACCTGGAAAACGAACAAAAAACTCAATGACTTTGAGAAGAAACTATTCAATGCTCGGTTAATTTAATTAGTACAGATAGTTGATCTGGATTATTCAGGACCCAACGTGGATTATCTGTAAATTAACTGCACAATTGCCAAATAGCCCCTTCATTTTGAATTTCATAGAAACATTCTATGGAGTCCCTAGGTGGTGCAAACAGTTAAACTCTCAACTCTAGCTGAAAGGTTGGCAGTTTGAACTTACCCAGAGGTGCCTCAGAAGATAGGCCTGTCCATCTGCCTCCAAAAGGTCACAGCTTTGAAAACTCCGTGGAGCAGTTCTACTCTGCAATCCATTGGGTCTCCATGAGTCGAAATCGACTCGACGGCACCTAAAAACAACAACAACAGAAATATTCTGTACGTTGACATTGCCCGATTGTGAGATATGGCATTGCAGAGGTTTCTTTGTGAAGCAGTATCTCTGGGTGCCGTGTCGTTTTAGAAATATGCAAATACGTGCAAAGGTCGGATCAGAACCGGGGTTCTTTGTAAGTGATGCCTTGTCAGTTAATAAGACTGACCCAATATTTTACAGCTTTGTTGAGATAAACGCTTAAAGAATAAAAACAAACGAACAAAAAAACCCAAACCCGTTGCCATCGAGAAAATTCCAACTCATAGCGACCCTATGGGACAGAGTAGAACTGCCCCTTAGGGTTTCCAAGGAGCAGCTGGTGGATCCAAACTGCTGACCTTTTGGTTAGCAGCTGAGCGCTTAACCACTGTGCCACCAGGGCTTCTCTTAAGAAATAAGATTGATAACTGGTAGAATTTGTCAAAAGAGAATAAGTACTTATAATTTATTAGGAATGCAATATGCTAGCAGACTCTTCCCAGCCCATTTCAGATTTGAGGGAAGAAAAAGCATCATCTTGGGTAATATATTTTTATATGCTTGCTTTAGTAGTTGCCTAGATGTGAAGTCCTCAGACATTTGTTTTATGACGGTTTTCCAATTGGTCCTTTTCTCGGCAGGTTCCTGAAGGAAAGGTAGCTGTTCTTAATTTCCAATCCATAGACCTCGAGAGTGACAACCTGTGCCGCTACGACTTTGTGGACGTATACAGTGGCCACGCCAACGGCCAGCGCATTGGGCGCTTCTGTGGCACATTCCGGCCTGGAGCCCTCGTGTCCAGCAGCAACAAGATGATGGTGCAGATGATTTCTGACGCCAACACGGCTGGAAATGGCTTCATGGCCGCGTTCTCGGCCAGTGAACCAAATGAAAAAGGTATCGTTCGCACACAATGGCAATAACAGCAATAATAATGGCTCACATTTAGTGAATGCCTGCTATATTTCAGGCACTGTTCTAGGCACATGCTCTATATTTACTCCTTTAATTCTTTGTAAGCAGAGAGCTAATGAACACCACCAAACTTATCAAGAGCCCATAAGAAAATCAGTGATTTTTTTTTTTAGCCGGCATACTTTGTTGTAAAAATGCAAACACAGACATTCATGGAGTAAAACTGTGAAGCTTGCACATACAGACGCATACAGACATACCGAGTCAGCCCTCCGTCTCATTCTGGCCTCTCTCCAGAGGCAGCCATGGCTGGTGTTTCTAGACCACCCTTTGGACTCACTTCTATGGATGTACTTTGACAAACAGCTTTTTAAAAAATAAGTGGGATCGGACTTTCATGTTGTTCCACAACTTGTTCTTTTCACTTAACACTGTATCTTGGGATATCCTTCTGTCAGCACATGTGAGCTGTGTTTGAAGCAAGCAAAATAAAAGGGCATCAAGAGCCACAGAAGAAATCTCATGAAGTGTTTTAGCCAAGGGCTGTATAGCAAGCACCATCCTTTAGACAGGCTCTAGCATGGGATAAGAGAAGCTTAAGGTTTACGATGTAGAGTATGTATGTTGATTTATAATTAACCGTCCATTCATTTATTTAACCAATATTTACTGAATGCCTCACAGAGGGTATAAAGCTAATTTGGAGTGAGCCCTAGCCTCTAAGAAGTTCAGTCTAGTAGAGAGGACAGAGATGTGTAATGAAGTAGAAGAGTGTGTTATCAAAATTGCCCCAATATGGTGGAGGTCAGGGGACCAGGCTTAGGGAAGGCTCATGGAGAGGTTATGCTTGAATCAATTTTACTTCCCTGATGGCTGAGGGCTGGAGGAAGCGAGAGAGGGAGGGCATTCCAGTCACAGGGAATTTTATGAGTGATAACCTTCATTGTTGTTGTTGTTAGGTGCCGTCGAGTCGGTTCTGACTCATAGCGACCCTGTGTACAACAGAACAAAACACTGCCAGGTCCTGCGCCATGCCCACAATCATTAGGCTTGAGCCCATCGTTGCACGCACTGTGTCAATCCATCTCATTGAAGATCTTCCTCTTTTTCATTGACCCTCTACTTTACCCAGCATGATGTCCTTCTCCAGGGACTGATCCCTCCTGACAACATGTCTAAAGTATGTGAGATGTAGTCTCACCATCCTTGCTTATAAGGAGCATCCTGGTTGTACCTCTTCCAAGACGGATTTGTTAGTTCTTTTGGCAGTCCATGGTATATTCAATATTCTTCGCACTACAGTTCAAAGGCATCAGTTCTTCTTCTGTCTCCCTTATTCATTGTCCAGCTTTCGCATGCATATGGTACAATTGAAAATACCATGGCTAGGGTGAAGCTGCCCTAAAGGCACCGGCAAAAAACAAGGCTCCAGGAATTGACGAAATATCATTTGAGATGTTTCAACAAATGGATGCAGCACTGGAAGTGTTCACTCGTCTATGCCAAGAAATTTGGAAGACAGTTAAGTGGCCAACCTACTGTATGAGATCCGTATTTATGCCTATTCCTAAGAAAGGTGATCCAACCAAATGTGGAAATTATCAAACGATATCATTAATATCACACACAAGTAAAATTTTGCTGAAGATCATTCAAAAGCGGCTGCAGCAGTATATCTACAGGGAACTGCCAGAAATTCAGGCCAGATTCAGAAGAAGACATGGAACCAGGGATATCATTGCTGATGTCAGATGGATCCTGGCTGAAAGCAGAGAATACCAGAGAGATGTTTACCTGTGTTTTATTGACTATGCTAAGGCATTTAACTGTGTGGATCATAACAAATTATGGATAACATTGCAACGAATGGGAATTGCAGAACACTTAATTGTGCTCATGAGAGACCTGAGACCTGAACATAGATCAGGAGGCAGTTGTTCAGACAGAACACGGAGATACTGCATGGTTTAAAGTCAAGAAAGGTGTGCATCAGGGTTGTATCATTTCACCATACCTATTTAATCTGGATGCTAAGCAAATAATCCAAGAAGCTGAACTATATGAAGAAGAATGGGGCATCAGGATTGGAGGAAGACTCGTTAAGAACTTGCATTATGCAGATGATACAACCTTGCTTGCTGAAAGTAAAGAGGACTTGAAGTACTTACTGATGAAGATCAAAGACTGCAGCCTTCAGTATGGATTACACCTCAGCATAAAGAAAACAAAAATCCTCACAACTGGACCAATAAGCAACATCATGATAAATAGAGAAAAGATTGAAGTTGTCAAGGATTTCATTTTACTTGGATCCACAACAGCCATGGAAGCAACGGTCAAGAAATCAAAAGACACATTGCACTGAGCAAATCTAGAAGTGATCTCTTTATTGTGTTGAAAAGCAAAGATGTCACCTTGAAGACTAAGGTGCGCCTGACCCAAGCCATGGTATAAGAGTGATAGCCTAGAAGTATTAAACAACTTAGCTTACTGAGAGAACTGTCACCAATAATAATAAAAAGGCTCTCATGAATTGAGCAGATAGTATGTGTCCCTCAAAGGGGCACCCTTAGAAGGCCCATGCTTCTGGGGAGAAAAAAGTAATAAGGAATGGAGAGGCACCCTGTGGAAACTGAGGTGAAGGGAAAATGAAGTAAGAAGGGGAAATCTAAGATGCTATAAAACAAAAGAGAGTTTAAAAAAATCAAAGGACACAAATCCCCTTCCTTTCCTCAGAATAAGCCATTCAGTTAAAACCCTTCACTGCACTGACAGAACAGGGTGCATTTGAACTAAGACTTGTGGAAACCACCTCAAACTGTAAACCCTGTCCATAAAATGAAGATGTACAGTCTCCATCTATACAAAAACTACCAGAATATGAAAATGAATATTAAAATTAATGTGCTTCGCCTTATAACCTCCCCCCAATAGAAAGAGAGAAACGTGAAACAACACTCCAAACTTAATTAAGTATCCTCAGAAAAGCATTTGAGAATATAAAAAAAAATTTGCATCAGGAATTCAAAAACCAAGAATAGAAACAGGCAATCAGAACTAAAACAATTTTTGAGGCCAACTCTTCAGACAGATACTGGACTGGACTGTGGAACAGAAAATGATCCTCATGAAGAGTGTGCTTCTTAGCTCAGGTAGATACATGAGACTAAACGGGCAGCTTCTGTCCGCAGGTGAGATGAGAAGGCTGAGAGGGTCAGGAGCTGGTTGAATGGACACGGGAAATCAGGGGTAGAAAGGAGGAGTGTGCTGTCACGGTATAGGGAGAGCAATTAGGGTCACATAACAATGTATGTATAAATTTTTGTATAAGAGACTAACTTAAAATGTAAACTTTCACTTAAACTACAACAATAAACAAACAAACAAAAAAGAATAGAAACTGAAAAAAAAAAAAAAAACCCACCAAGGAACAAATAAAACAAGAGTTGATTGAACATCGGAAAGAATTAGAAGAGAAGGACAAAATGATCAGAAAAGGAAGGCTAAATTGTAAGAAGTCCAATAAAGAAGAGTGTCATGGATTCAATTGTGTCCCCCAAAAATATGTGTATCATTTTGGCTGGGCCATGATTCCCACTAGTGTGTGATTGTCCACCATTTTGTCATCTGATGTGATTTTCCTATGGGTTGTAAATCCTACCTTTATGTTAATGAGGCGGGATAGGCAGCAGCTTTATTGATGAGATCTACAAGATTAGACTGTGTGTTAAGTCATTCTCTTTTGAGATATAAAAGAGAGACGCAAACAGAGAGACATGGGACCTTCATACCACCAGGAAACAAGAGCTAGGAGAATAGCACATCCTCTGGACCTGGGGTCCCTGCACTGAGAACCTCCTCAGCCAGGGGAAGATTGATGCAAGGACCTTTCTCCAGAACCCCAGAGAGAGAAAGTCTTCTCCGAGAGCTGGTGCCCTGAATTCGGACTTCTAGCCTCCTAACCTGTGAGAGAATAGATTTCTCTTTGTTAAAGCCATCTATTTGTGGTATTTCTGTTATAGCAGCACTAGATGACTAAGACAAATAGATTTGAATAAAAACCTAATGAGGGCACTGAAGACAAGCAGGAAGAAAACTAAGAGAATAAAGTGAAAAAACAGAAGTAAAAAGGGACAGAGAGAGGAGAGAGAAAGAAAGAAGAAAAGAGATGGGGGAGGATGGAAGAGAGAGAGAGAGAAACTGAAATGGAATGCAAGCAAAAAATATCCAACTTATACATAATTAGAGTCCCAGAGGAAGAAAAAAGCAATGGAAAATAATTGATATTTAAAACTATAAACCAAGAAAACTGTCCAGAAATAAATGAAAAATGAATCTACATATTGAAAGCAGCCACCAAGTATCTGAAAAATCTACCTGCAACAATCAACTCTAAGACAAATCCTAGTAAAACTATTAGACATAATGATTACACTTCAGAGTTAAAGGAAAAAAACAATTCAGGGTTTCTAGCCAAAAAGAAGGAGCCCTGGTGGTGCAATGGTTAAAGCACTCGACGGCTAACCAAAAGGTCGGCAGCTCCTCGGGAGAAGAGACCTGGCGATCTGCTCCTGTAAAGATTACAGCCTAGAAAATCTTATGGGGCAGTTCTACCCTGTCCTATTGGGTCACTATGAGTCGGAATTGACTTGATGGCACCCAACAACAGGCAAAGAGAACAAATAACCTACAAGGGTAAGGAAATTAGACTGGTATCAGACATCTCAAAAGCACCACACAAAACAAGGAAATTTTGGAGCAAGATTTTCAAGAAACTCAAGGGAAGGAAGTGCGAACCAAGGATTTAATATCCACTGTGGCGTCCTTCACATATTAAGACGATAGAAAAATGGTTGTACATGTGCAAGAACTCGAGGCATACTGTACCCACACGCCCTTGTCTTCTGTGCTGAAGAAATACTTTGTTAAAATATAGTAATTCCGTTTGTTTCAATTTCAGTATTTTTGTTAAATTCAAGTAAAGTTAAATTCAGAACTTTGTATTCAAAAAAGTGTTCTAAAATTATTTCTTTCGACCTCTCAGTATATATGCATACAGATGTCCAAAATGATACTTGTCAAATATTAATCATGGTTAGCTTTGGGTGGTGGGGTTTGTGGTAATTTTTTAGTTTCCTAGTGTTTTTCTGTAGTACTGAAAATTTATAAGCATGCATTGTTCCTATAGACAGAAATTATTCTTAATAATTATTAAAGATTTATAGCTTATTAGGTTTTCTAGTAATGAGTGTTGTCTACACCAACTGATTCAAACCCTGTCCATGTTCATAAATTTTTACCGTTAATAAATATCCCTGCCTTGAGGGGTCTTAAAATATATGTAATTTGTTGAGCCTACATGCTTTCCGAGTGTGCATGCCCAAATGTTTTGTCATTACCTGTCAAAAGAAAGAAAGAAAGCACTATAGCCCTGACCCCACTCCTGTACTCTCTTGTGCTGATGTGATTTGTCAGGTAAATAAGAACGTAGAAATAGTTCATTTATTCATTGTGTGTGTGTGTGTGTGTGTGAGTGTATGTATGTGTGTATGTAGAGTATGTAACCAATTTTTTAAGAGAAAATGTAAGAGCTTCTGCCAACACTTTATTTAGTATAACCCCACTGCTGCCGAGTTGATTCTGACTCATAGCGACCCTGTAAGAAAGAGTAGAGCTGCCGCATAGAGTTTCCAAGGCTGTAATCTTTACGGAAGCAGACTGCCACATCTTTCTCCCACGGAGAGGCTGATGGGTTCAAACCACTGACCTTTCAGTTAGCAGCCGAGTGCCAATCCACCAGGGCTCCTTATATTTGGTATACTATCAGCCAATATCCCAAATTCCTAATCTACATGTGGTTTTATTCTATAACCTATTTTTTTTCATATTTAATAATTTCAGGGGATCGATATTGTGGAGGACGTCTGGAAACACCTGGCTCTTTTAAAACCCCCAACTGGCCAGACCGTGACTACCCTATAGGAGTCACCTGCGTATGGCACATCGTAGCCCCAGAGGATCAGGTGAGATGCCCTGAAAATGTGAAGAACACGTCTTAGTTTCTTGGTGCTGCAATAACAGAAATACCACAAGTCAGTGGCTTTGACGAACAGAATTTTATTTTCTCATAGTTTAGGAGGCTCGTTGTTGTTAGTTGCTGTCAAGTCAGTTCAGACTCATGGTGACCCCCTGTGTGCAGAGTAGAACTGCTCCACAGGGTTTTCAAGGCTGTGACCTTTTGGAAGCAGATCGCCAGAACTGTCTTCCAAGGCATCTCTGAGTGAGTTCGAACTGGGTTCAACCAGTGGGTTGAACCTTTTAACTAGAAGTCCGAATTCAGGGTGCCTGCTCTAGGGGAATGTTCTCTCTGTCCAAACCCATGTCTCTTTCAGCTTCTCCCTTTCGGTTCCTTTGTGATCTCCATGTGGCATCAGTCTTTCCCCATTTGTGCTTCCTTGCTTCTGTGACTAATCTACTCTTTTTACATCTCAAAAGTGATTGGCTTAAACACATCCTATACTGATATGGCCTCATGAATATGAAAAAGAAAACCCTGTTCCCAAATAGGATTACATCCACAAGTATAAAAAACCCATTGCCATCGAGGCGATTCCGACTCATAACACTTAACCACTATCCCACCAGGGTTTCCTCCAGAAGTATAAGGGTTAGGTTTTACAACACATCTTCCTGGGGGGACGATCTGTAACAGCATGCAAGTGTGAACTGCCCAGGGAGTGTGAGGGGCCCAGCTTTCAAGAGCCTTGGGTTTTAGGGTTATCAGAGAGCTAAGGGTTCAGGGAGAGGAAGGCCCTGCTAGACACAGGTATTTCTTCATGTAAGACCCAGAGTAAAGCTGCCCTTTGTACTATCTGACTTGCAAAGTCATGGATTTAGTATCTTCTTATTTAACTACAACATGCAAAGGAGGTTTTAAAAATACAAATGGTAAGCAAATCTCACTTGAGATGGTTTAACCCTGCAGAAGGTAGAGCTTGGTGTTAGAAGCAGCAATGAGTAACTGTGGGAGGATAAAAATCCCCAAGTACATGTACATTTAGGTGACTGCTCGTGTAGCGAACCTACCGCGTCCTGATAACAGTCATGTTAGCCACCAAATCAAAACCAGTCCGAAGGCTTCTCTTCAACACAGCCTATGTAAAGCACACCATCTCTCCAGAGACAAGGTGTCTGATGTGAAAGCTGATCTGCTTTGGGGTTTTTTTGTTCATGTTTATAATAAAACTTGTGCAGGTTCCCCTCCCCGCCAAAAAAAGCTTTATTCGTTGCTCTAAAACAAGCAACAAAGAAGATCTGATTTTCCCGTGTTTAATAGTTCGTGGTTATATGAATTTCTGCCTTTTCTGGGGACCACTTGTAGCTATTAACTTGGATAGAATTTGGCATAGGAGTAGAGGAAGCCCACTATGTGAACTTCTTAAAATGACTTCAAAAACTACCATCATTACAAACGCTACTTACTTTTAGTCTAAATACTATAAGATGAGCCTTATATTGTTAAAAACTGTTCTAAATTGATCTTTCATATAGCTTGCACAAATATTATTTGCTGTATATTAATTTTTTAATGGAAAATTATTCAGGCAAACATGCCATGCGTGTTAGTGATTCAAACACACGCACGCATACACATACACCCATGGATCATAATCCAAATACTCAGTTTTATTTTTAAGAAGAAAACTATGGTCATTTATTTAATAATGAAAGATTCTGTATCAACCTATTGAACATCTTATAGTTTATGATAACATTTAAAAAATGACATTTCTCAAACATTAAACAATTATGTAATTCCTTGAGATTGTATGAGTCTTTTTTTCTCTCAGTGACATTTGTAAATATATTGTTGTTGTTTTTAGGTGCTGTCGAGCCGATTCCAACTCATAGCAACCCTATAGGATAGAGTAGAACTACCCCATAGGAGTTCCTAGGCTGTAATCTTTATGGGAGCAGATTGCCAGGTCTTTTCTCCCAGGGAGGTGGATTTGAACTGCCAACCTTTCGGTTAGCAGCCTAGCACTTAACCATTGTGCCACCAAGGTTCCTTTGTAAACATATTAGACTAAATAATTCCAATTTAATTATACTTGCAAATTACAATTCAGCATCTCTTTTCCATTGTTTTTTCCTCTGATTATTTAAATTTAAATTTGGGTTTTATTTTATTAATGTCATTTTTGGCTTCAGCCGATTGAGTATTTTAATCATTGTTGTAATGTCTGAATCACTGGGAGCTCTGCCCAAAGGAGGAAAGTATAATAGGAAAATTGAATCCTAAATAATACCTATGCAGGTCTATGGGATTTTTTTCTATTATAGACTTGCCTTCATTTTTTTAATCATAGATTTCTCCTTCATCTTCTCATTTATTTACTTTTTTAAAAAATCTTCTCTTCAAAAGTTGTTATGTAACTAATTTCTTAGTAGAGAAAGTTCAGCCAATTTTTTAATAACCTGGAAAGCATTTTATTAGTAATTGGTGAGAAGTCACTGGATCCAAAGAGGAAATATTTTGATAAAATTTAAAACAGTGTAAAGTATGACTCCCCCGTTATTCCACCCATCACTGGTGGTGACTTTTTTTTAAAAGGTTGCTAAATATGTAAATCGGTAGCAGTTATGTTCAAAGCCAAAATTTACCTTTGTGTCCATCTGTGATGCTGTTGGCTATTGCCATCTTTAGCCAGATTACTGTGTATGAGTCTTCTTTAGCTCATAATTATGTGACTGTCCTAGCAGTAACTAATACCCATTTGCTTCCCTGAAGCAGCAGGTAGGGTTTCCTTCTCACCTGGCACCCAGCAAGAATGGATACCAGGCACTATGGGTATTTATGAACCCAGTGAGATTTTCTTTGATTCACACATTGGAGATGCTCTTGGAAAATCTGCTTGTCAACCAAAGTGTCCATCATCATATGAATGGATAAACAAAATGTGGTATATCCATACAATGGGATATTATTCATAAAGAGAAATGAAATTCTGATACATGCTACAATGTGAATGAATCTTGAAAACATTATGCTGAATGAAATAAGTCAGACACAAAAGGACGAACATTGTCTGATCCCACTTATATGAAATGTCTAGAATAGGCAAATGCCTGGAGACAAAAGTTTATTAGTGGTTACCAGGGGCTGTGGGGAGGAGGGAATAGGAGTTTTTGCTGAAGGGGTGCTGAGTTTCTGTTTCAGGTAATGTCAAACTTTTGGAAATGGATAGCAGTGATGGTAGAATATGGTGAACATAATTAATGTTACTGAACTGTTTAATGGTCAAAATGGCAAACTTTTTGTTTTAGGTATATTTCACCACAATAAAATTTAAAAAAGAGAGAGATGGAGAAAGAATCTGTAAATTAAAAGAGACATTTAAAAAAGAAATCTGCTTGTAAGAGGAATGATTGTCTATTAAATCAAAACTTCCTATTAACTTCAATAAATTAGGACACTATTACTTGTACCATTGCAAAAAAAGAACACTGAGAATATGGCCCCCGGACACCCTTTTAACTTAGTATTGAAGTCACTCCTGAGGTTCACCCTTCAGCCAAAGATTAGACAGGCCAACAGTAACACACACGAAGGACATGCTTCATAGCTCAGTCATGTATATGAGACTAATGGGCACAACAGCCTGAAAGCAAAGAAGAGAAGGCAGGAAGGGACAGGAAAACTGAACGAATGGAAACAGGGAATCTGGGGTGGAGAAAGGGAGAGTGTTGACACATTGTGAGGTTGCAGCCAATGTTATGAAACAATGTGTGTATTAACTGTACGATGAGAAACTAATTTGCTCTGTAAACTTTCACCTAAATCACAGTTTAAAAAAAAAAGAGTCCTAACACTGACTTTGAGTGCCAATGCTTCTATTCATCCTCTTCAAAATCAATCACATCACCAAGTGGGCTATGCTCAGTGTGCACACTTTTCAAACATAGTTCAAGAAGACATCACAGTCAACTCCCACTTCACTGAACCTCTGGCCCTAAAATATTTGAGTTCTTTAAATGTAATGGGAATGTCAGTGTCCTTCCCTTGAAAGGGGAACAACTTTATCCAACCACGACACATACACACACGTACCCCAATGCCCACCAATATAGGAAATATCTTAGATAATCTTTTTTCTATTAGTTTTCCTCTAGAAAAGAGCAAAGCTATTTATAGCCCCCTTCTCACTCTTACATCCCCCCAATTACAGTCTTATGTAGGTTGCGAGTGTTATATAAAGTTCCCATACTTTTGTATGTAAATGAACAGAGCTTCCAAGTTTGAGATCCTAACTAGGGTTGTTCTAGGGTTGAGATGATCTTTTGGAAAGATGATTAAAGAAAAAGAATACCACAATTCTGTTAACTAAACAAGAAGTATGCAACAAGAAAAAAAATCATTTGAACAGAATGAATACATTTTTTTACAAAGGGAAATCTTAGTACATTACAAAACTGGGGAGAGGAGGAATTCCATTTAAGATTAATCAGCAATGCTATTTTGACACTTCTAATACTATGTTTTCTCTAAAGCTTATAGAATTAAAGTTTGAGAAGTTTGACCTTGAGCGAGATAACTACTGTCGTTATGATCATATGACTGTGTTTAATGGTGGAGAAATCAACGACGCTAATAGAATTGGAAGATACTGTGGCGATAGTCCACCTGCGTAAGTAAAGCAAAACGAAGCCAGTTGCCATTGAGTTGATTCTGACTCATGGCGACCCTGTGTATTTCAGTGGAGAACTGTGCTCCATAGCGTTTTCAAGTAGCACCTGTCCCTTATCCTCACATTGTTGCCCAAATTGTTGTTGAGTGGGCCTTAAAGACATAGTGCATTTCTTCAACAATCATTTATGGAGCTAAGAACTCTGCCACTTACTGTCTATGTTACCATAGGCAAGTTACTCAACTCCTCTCTGCTGTCTTTTGATGCAATACAAGACTAATCTTTGGTGTAAGATATTTCATACTTTCATAAACGATACTAATAAGAGTGGCCATTGAATTCCTACAGTTTGCCTTCAAAGTTGCTATTTATCACCCTATGCCAACTTAAATACCCTTTCCTACTCTGCTGTTTAAAGATAGAGTCTATGTATCAATTGATTTTACATGAATTCCTATGATTTTCCACAGACACATTCGAGTTAAAGCGAAGTATTTTGCAGTTTTAACTCATTTTTATTTATTAAGTCACTGTTAAATTCAGAGTAACCACTAAGAAAGGCAGAAAGAGAGTCTTTAACTTCCAAAAGAGAGGAGGGAAAACTTGGAATGAGAAAAAAAGTTCAGTCCAAAAGAAGGCAAGACAGGAGAAAAGGGGAAACATAAAAAAGGCAGGACAGATGGAAAGACCAAAATTAGATGGTAGAAATACATTTAGATATATTTGCAATTTTAAAAAATGAGAATGGACCAAACGGTCAACAATTAGTTTAAAATGAAAATGTAAGGGGGGCAGGGAAACTAGATTAATGGAAACAGAACAACCAGAATGGAAATAATGAGAATGTCCACACACTGTGAAGAATATAACCAATGTCACTGAACAACTTATTAAATGGGAACCTAAACTGCTGTGTAAACCTTCACGGAAAACACAGTGAAATATTATTAAATAAATAAATGTGAATGAACCAACTCATTCATCTTTAAAAGACAAAGATTGTTAGACTAGACAACAAAGCAAAATCCAGCTCTATGCTGTTTACAAGACACATCCCTAAAAAATGAGAACACAGGAGACTTTGAAAATAAAAGAATAAAAAAAGATACATGGTGTAGCTTTATTGATAGCAGCTGATTGTGGGGTAGGGCTAGGTGATGGAGGGAGCTGTTGAGCATCGCTCGCTTCTGAGGAGTTCGCCTGGAGTAGCTTGGCTACCAGCCCCACTAACTAACACTTTATCCAGAGGAATATTTTTCCATAGTCATAATACTTCTGGGGTGGGGCAGTGCAGAAAATGAGGAAACCTCTTTGAGGGAGTTTTCCTTCTGTCAAAAGAATAGAGTCAGGGTGAATAGAAGGAGCTTTGGGGATATATGGGGTGAATAGAAGGAGGAGCCTTGGGGATCTGTGGGGCAGCACCCCATTGTCCCTGTGTCTGGTTCAGTGCAGTATCAATGCCATTCAACTCAGTTCAGAAACACTTAGTACACCCCAGCTATGTGCTGGGCAGTATGTTAGGTACCCAAAAGGTAAGTGAGAAATACAGAGATAAATAGTGGGAGGGAGTGAAACAAGGCAGATAGGTAAACTGGCAATGGAGTGCCCTGGGTGTGCTGGACCTCTGAGGAGGAGACCTTCGGCCCAGTTCCAGCAAGTGTGAGGAGATTAGGGAAGTCCTTTTGTGGGAGATTATGCCTCTTGAAGCTGAGTCTTGAAGGAAGAGTTGGAGTTAATCAGAGGCAGAAGGGAGGACAAACTCATTCCAAGTAGAGGGAACTTTGTAATAAAGATATCCCAGTTGTTGCTGTCAAGTTGACTCCGACTCATGGTGACCCCATGTGTATAGAGCAGAACTGCTCCATAGGGTTTTCAGTGATTGATTTTTCAAAAGTAGATCACCAGGTCTTTCTTCCAAGGCACCTCCAGGTAGACTTGAACCTCCAACCTTTAGGTTAGCAGCCAAGTATGTTAACCATTTGCACCACCCAGTGGCACCTAATAAATATAGAGAAAGGAGATACATGCTATTTCTGGAGCCTAAACCTTGAGTTGGGGCCTAGAGGGAGTTGGGACAGAAAGATTGAGTTGGGTCCCATGGCCTGCAGAGATGGGAGCCCTTGAAGTGCGTGTAGGCAGAGGAGTGACATGACCAGTGGCTCTAGATCCCCACTCTAGAGAACACGAGCACGGAGGCTAGTTAGGAAGCCGCAGCAGTGGTCCAGGTAAGAGTCCAGGAGGACCCAAAGTAGGGCAAGATGGTAGGGAAGAAATGGGGGATGTAGATTCAGGAAATATTCAGGATGCCATATTGGTGGGACGTGGTGGCTGATTGGCTGTAGTGACTGAAGGAGAGGAAGGACTGCAGAATGACAAACCAGAGACAGCTCAAGTAGAAGACAGGAAACAGCATCCTCCATCCATTCCTGGGATTTGCCAGTGAAGAGTGGAGCTAAGTGAGACTTCCTCTTGCCTTTCTAGTGATTTGTAACATTAATTTGCAGATGCAACACATGGTCCTCAGTACATTCATGGCACTGGGATTCTGTCACATTTATACTAAAGCTCAGTAGCAGTATAACAAAAAACATTTCTTTGTTACTAAAATACTCTTCCTTGAGAAAACGATTTCAGATATAATGCCTCTAAAATTAGTTCATAGAAGAGGCAGTGAATGATCACTATAATTATAGCATCATACCTAGAAGGCTGACTTTGTCGGGTCTTAAGCTTTCTTTCAACTGCCTATAATGAGTGCATTTTGTAATTTTATCATTTAAACAAGATTAACATGCTTTATTTGTGATTTTAGATGAGAATTGTGTTTAGTTTACTGTTTTTATTTATTTAATGGAAAGAGTTTTTCGAAAGCAAGATAGAATATTTCTGTTAAGGGCTTGATCTTCAGAAGCTTTACTTGAATGACCTTGGCCACTGGGTGACTGGAACTGTGCATGCTGATCATGAAGCTTACTCTTACCTTTTGCTCAGGTTGTTATTCAGGACAGAAAAAAAATCCTACACTTTTCTATCTGGTTGGGTCAAATACAGATCTACCCACCTCTCCACCCACTTAAAGTAGCTGATGTTAGTTGCCGTCAAGTCGATTCCGACTCATGGCGACCCCACGTGTGCAGAGTACAACTGCTCCATAGGGTTTGCAAGGTTGTTAATTTTCAGAGGCAGATTTCCAGGGCTTTCTTCCAATGTTCCGACTGTGCCACCCAAAGACTCTTAAAGTGGCTGATAAAAAACAAAACCAAATCCACTGCCATCAATTCCAACTCTTAGTGACCCTATAGGACAGAGTAGAATTGCCCCATAGAGTTTCCAAGGCTGTAATCTTTACAGAAAGAATTGGTTTGTCTGGGACAATGTCTACATGGGGCAACTGCTTGAAAAAGGGAGTTTAGTCAAACAAGCAACTGATTCAATTTAAAAACTTAATTTTTTTCCACTCCTGAGTTAGTTTTTAAATAGAATGAACCAATCTGACATTCCTTTTACTATTGTTTAAATAATAACAGTAAAAGCTTAAATGAAACTACTGTCTTATGTAATATAGGTACCCCTAAGATTTAAGAGGAGCCTTGGTGGCGCGGTGGTTTAGAGTTTGACTGCTAACCAAAAGGTCGGCAGTTCAAATCCGCCAGCCACTCCTTGGAAACCCTATGGGGCAGTTCTACTCTGTCCCACAGGGTCACTGTAAGTCGAAATCAACTCAGTGGCAACGGGTTTGAATTTTTTTGGGGGTGGGTTTTAAGATTTAAGAGACCTTTTGAGCTTCAGTTATTATTTCCACTAAATCTTTAATGCCAACTAGCCAGCAACCCCCTAAAACTGCATTAAAATTAGTTCTTAATCAATGATGTTGTCCACGACCACTCAAACAGAATAATCACTTTCTCTCCCTCTGCTTCACAGCACTGTTGCTGAGATTGTCAACAGAAATGTTTCCATTTCAGGCATTCATAAGAGCACCCATTAAAAATGAAATGGAAGTCCCGTTACAACCGGTTTGACTTTCTCATCCCTGGGTGGCCAGTGGAGAGATGACCCCTGTGGCTCTGTCTTCACAGGGTGTGGAAATTTGCCCGACTTGGATGCACAGTCTTAGTTCAAAGAGGTTGTGGTGTTCCCAGGCCAGGCCAAACTCTGAGGTCATTGTGGAGAACCAGCCACAGCTTCAGTGTTCCCACTGGTCATCATGTCTACCACAGTCTCCCTGTCTTGGGTTCAGATCATGACTCTCCCACATGCTAACTAACTGTGGAGCCTTAGGCAGATCACTGGAACCCTCTGAACTTCAGTTGCCTATTCCATAAAAAGGGAATGATGATAGGCTGTTGTGAAGATGGAATGCAACAATTTGCATAAAGTACAATGCCTTGCTGAGCAAACACTCAATGAATATTCGCTTCCAGCACTGAAATTTAGCAGATTGAGACTTTCACCTTTTAAAGTGTTTTAGCTTTTAAGTTTAAACAAGTGATAATCTACTGTCAAAAAATGAACGGAAAGCAAGAAAACATCACACTTCAGAGACTGCATATTTCATATGTATGTATATATATGTTTTTTTGCTTTTAGGCCAATTGTATCAGAGACAAATGAACTTCTCATTCAGTTTTTATCAGACTTAAGTTTAACAGCTGATGGATTTATTGGTCACTACAAATTCAGGCCAAAAAAACTGCCAGCAACTACAGCGCCACCCATTACCACCACACCTCCTGTATCTACAGGTAAGGTTTTCTGTTTTGAGGTTTCTACACAAACTTTGGGAGAACAATTATTATGAGGTAGAAAAAAAAATAAGAGGAAAATATTTGAAAAATTCTCTTACATGAAAAATTATGTAAGAGAATAATATGATTCATTGATGACAGAAAGGAATGGGTGGAAGAATACTTACAAGCTAATAATTTTTAGAAGTCACCTAGAAAATGATGACCACTTAAAAATTAGTAAGAAATCTATTGTAGGCACAGCCGAAGTTTCCTTTTCTGGCACTTAGAGAATCATGATTTTATTTTTATTACAAAGAATCATGATATTTTAGGTTACAGTTCTAGAATCTTGACACATCTTATTTCCACATCTGCCAATGGTTTTTTTTTTTTTTTTTCCCCTTCTGTTCAGAATGTGTCATATAAAATGTATTATCTTTTCAATTTGGAGTAAATCAAAGAAGTATATAGTTCATATAGAGATAGCCCTTGAAATAACCAGTGCCAGCCTCCATGATTAAGAAGTCAGTTGGGCATCTCTGGTCTGGGGCATGTTTGATGTAAGACATGGAGAGGCAGGAGTGGGTCTCTATATCTAGCCCACATCCTGTCAGCTCCACCTACTGGGGTTTCAGGCCTCAGATGTAAAAATCCAAATCCAGGTAGGAGAAAAAAGTGGGAAGGAAAGACCTAAGGTTAAGATATGAAGCAGGCTGAAATAAGCCCACCTTTTTTACTCACGGTTTTCTGCATGCACCCTGGATAGGGCTGTCCTGAGTACAGACACTTCTAGAGGGGCTGATTTTTCTGAGCACTCCACAAATGTGCCACCCTGTGGCCTGGAAGTGAACTGCTTCATGGTGTCTCTCTCCAGCTCATCTCAGTAGATCCTGGTGTCCATATTCTTTCCAATGAGTTATCTGGCTGCAGTCTTGCTGTTAATGTTTCCCCAGCTTTTACCTCCAATCCTAAACTTTCTCTGAAACTGCAGACATGGATCAGTGATTATCTCCCAGAAAATCTGTGGTTGCTAGATGTTTAAATGAAAGCCAATCAATCTCAACTCACTTTATCATGCTATTTACTGCCTCAAACCTGCTTCTCCACCTCTTTTCCAAGACATGGCCCACATCATCAGTTGCCACACTCTTAGGGATAATCTTTAACTTCCCCTATATCTTACCTCTTCACTGCATGCCCTCCCCTAGACCAGACCATGTCATGTTCCCATTTAAGTTCATTGTCTAGAGCTGTGTTGTCCAATAACAGTAGCCACCTGACCACTTGAAATGTGGCTATTGAGACTACGGAACTGAATTTTTTATTTAATTTTAATTAATTGAAATAGTCTCATGTGGCTAGTGGCTACCATACTGGACAGCACAGGAACCCAAACTCCTTCACGTAGTATATAAGGCCCTTCGCACTTTGTTTCCGGCCTCTCGTACTAGCTTCGTCTTCAGACTCTACTACCCCTTTCCTTATGCTCTAAGCATTTTGGTTTTTCTCCTAAGTGTAGGAGAAGCTGCTGATGGGTTTAAGCAAAGTTCAGGATCAGATCTGCATTTTACAAAGATGACTGGCCACTATGAGGTGAATGGATTGTAGGGGTCAAGAGGAACAGCAGGTTCTTTTGGCTATCCAGGTGAACTGTGCCAAGAGATCAGTGGAGATATTGACCGACCTTTGTGATTGACTGGATTAGAGCAATCAGGCTGGTATCAAGAATGCGTCCCAGCTCCTGACTTACATAACTAGGGGGATAATGTTACCATTCACTGAGGTAGAGAACTGGGTTTGGGAGTGGATTCATGAGTTCTGCTGTGACCTTGTTGGGTTTGTGGTGTCTGTGGGACAGTGGTTAAAAGATCGGTTACCAACCAAAAGGTCAACAATTAGAATCCACCAGCTCCTCCTTGAAAACCCTATGGGGCAGTTGTACTCTGTCCTATAGGGTCTCTATGAGTGGGAATTGACTTGACAGCAATGCGGTTGTTTGTTTGTTTGTTTGTTTGTTTTGGTGAGACATTCAAGTGGAGATGTTGTGTAGGCAGTTAGATATATGGCCTTCCAGGCCAGAAGAGAATTTGAACATATAAATGAGATATAAATGTGAGAGTCATCAGCATACAGATGGTAATTGAAACCCTGATCCAGAATGAGATTACCTAGGGAGAAGTTGGGGGTAAAAGGAAGAGACAGCCTAGGATTAAACCTTGAGAAACTCGATCTTCTTAAGGAGGATATACTGACAAAGGAGACTGAAAAGGAGTGACTAGGAGGAGGGAGGAAAACCAGGAGCAGATGTCATGGAAGCCATGGAAAGAGAATGTTTTAAGAAGAAGGGAGTGGTCAGTAGGGTCTAGTGTTGGCAAGACTTTAAATAAGGGAAGTTCCAAAATGCTTCCATCTGATTTAGTGACATGGCGGCTATTGAAGGCCCTAGCAAGGGCTGTGTGCGCAGAGTTGTGCAGGCAGAAACCAGACAGAGTGGGCTGCGGGTGAGTAGAACAGGCTGAAGAAATTGAGATAATAAGTGGCAGCAACTTGTTCCACAATTTGGCCCTAAAGGAAGGAGAGAGGCTATGAGAGCCTTGGACGTGTTAGTCCTGATGGGAAGTAGCCAGCAGAGAAGAAGGTGCACATACAGCAGACAGAAGGAATAGACTGATGGAGAAAAGTTTCTCCACAAGTGGGAGGGGCTGGCCTCCCAAGAACTCACAGGAGGATTGACCTTACAGGACTAGGGGCATCACCTCCTCTGTCAGGGAGGAGAGGAAGAGAGAAGCACAGGTAAAAACGCTATAGAGTTGAGGTGGGGATCTTGAGGAGCTTGTCTGCTATGCTCTCTATCCTCCTAGAAAATAGGCAAAGTTGGCTGCTGAGAATGAGAAGGGAGGTGGGAACACTGGAGGTTAGGAAAATTAGAAGGACTTGAAAACACCTGTGGAAAATTGGAGAGTGAGTTGATCCATAAAACAGCCTGTCACTTCTGAGGGTCCAGTTGTGTGCTCAACTGTTCGGATGCAGGCACAGAAAAAATCGAGATGCCTGCAGGGTTGGAATTTTACCAGTCAAGAGCTGCAGAAGACCAGAGGGGCTGGGAATTTAAGCTATTGTCAAGAAAATGAGTGAAATAATGGACCATGGAAACTAAGTGGGATAGCTAAGGATGTAAAGATAGGCCCAGTCTGATGGATTTGAAAAGTGAGGGGGTCAATGCATTGAACCTTCAAAGACAGAGAAAAAAAAAGTAGTTATGCGAGTGATTAAATAAATAAGCTTGAAGGAGAGGAGACTGTACTAGATAGCAGAATGTCTGAATTTGAGAGTTTGGTGATGAAAGACTAGCTGGAAGACATGTGAGCATAGAACCAAGCATCTTTGATAGAACAGAGTTTTGAAAGTCCCTGGGATGGACTGAGCGGGACCATCCACGAGGAGACTGGAGTCACTGGGATGGCTGCAGGAACACATGGAAGGCTGTGAACCCTGTGGCCAAGTTGGGGCGTGCAGTGCGGTAGATAGATTACAGTAAGATGAGGAGGGGTAGGATGGTGTAGTTGATGACATAAGGTAAGAGAGTGGAGATCTACCAAAGAGAAAGAAGGAACAATGTGAGACACCCACCCAACTTCCAGACTGAAGTTCTGAGGCTGACAAGGGGCTGGTCTCCAACAGCCCACATGAAAAGATGTTCTTTTTCAGCAGACAAGGTGGACCACTAACACCACTACTCTCAACTTGGTTAATTAGGCAAATTTAGTGCCAAAGTGAGGCCCCCAACTTCTGGAACAATGAATAGTACGTCTCTCCCTCTCAATGTTTTCTGAGCTGTGTTGAAAAAAATACATATTTAAGCTCATATATGTATTTTAACATTGAATCGTATATGCTTTAATATTGTAAACCACTCAGATGCTTTTTGGCGGTAAGTAAGGGCACAAATGAAGTCCCTGGGTGGTATAAACAGTTGATGCACTCGCTGCTAACTGAGAGATTGGAAGTTCGAGTCCACCTAGGGGCACCTGGGAAGAAAGACCTGGTGATCTACTTCCAAAAAATCAGCCATTGAAAACCCTACTGAGTGCAGTTCTACTCTGACACACACGGTGTCACCATGAGTCGGACTCAACTGAGTGGCAACTGGTTTTTCTTTTTTTAGGGGTACAAAGTAAGAATAAATAAATAAATTATAACTTCACAGAGGAGTTGGCTGAACATACTAGAAGGGCAGTATTGCAATGGCAAATTCTTATGCAGTAAGCACAGTTCTCTTACAGTTGTTTTGTTTAATTCTTCCTAGCGTATTGCCACATACAAGTGAATGATTAGCAAACATTTTTAATGATCGTTGCTATTGTTGTTAGGTGCAGTTGAATTGGTTTTCTACTCATAGCGACCCCAGGTGACAGAGAAGAACTGCCCCAGAGGGTTTTCTAGGCTATAATCTTTATGGGACAGAGCGCTGGTAGCGCAGTGCTTAAATGCTTGGCTGCTAACCAAAAGGTAGGCGGTTTGAACCCACCAGCCGCTCTGTGGAAGGACAATGTGGCAGTTTGCTTCCGTAAAGATTACAGCCTTGGAAAGGGGCAGTTATACTCTGTGTTATAGGGCCACTATGAGTTGGAATCAACTCAATAGCAATGGGTTTAGTTTTTTTTTTTTTTAATCTTCACAGGAGCAGATTACCAGTTCTTTCTCCTGCAGAGCCACTGGGTGGCTTCGAACCGCCCACCCTTCAGTTAGCAGCCGAACACTTAACCATTGTGCCACTAGGGCTCTGTCTTTAATGATGATAACAGGGATTAAATATTTCACTTCGTTAACCCATGGTTTCTTAACCTCAGAACAATTGAGCTGGGTAATTCTTTGTTGTGGGGGACTGTCTTGTGCATCGTCGGATGTTTAGCAGCATCCCTGGCCTCCACCCACTAGGGCCTCCACCCAGTAGGGCCTCCGCCCACTAGACAGCAGCGTTCTCCCCTCCCACCCTGCTCCCTGGTTGTGACAACCAAAAATGCCTCCAGACACTGCCAAACGTCACCTGGAGGGAAAAGCACCCCCAGATGAAAACCTCTGTGTTAATCTATTTAGTTTTGCTTTTCAGTTTTTCTACTTCTCAGTTCTTAAGCTCCTTATAGCCAGTACCAGGATTAAAATAAATAATGTAGTGATGGGTTGCATCTAATTACAGATGTAATATATTTTACAGGTGAGCTACGTTTCTAAAAACCTGTACTACTCATATTTGGGCAATTGCATCATATTTTAAATGCACCAAGAAAGCTCCCAATGTCCTCAGGGGAACATCCTATTCTTAGAATTCCTTTCGGAAAGTGAAGAATCACCCTATATTTGCTGAATTCAGATTTCTCGTACTGGATTTTTCTAAGCAGGACACACATGAACCATTTATCTATTTTTGAGTATAATGTTAGTTATATATCAAGGAAGAAAAGAACAGGGCTAAATTTAGATTATCTTTGATCTCTGGTTTAAAATTCACCAGAAGATATTAAGTTGCCCTGAAGAAATTAGAGCTATAGTTGATAGCATGAAGCATTTCCTTTACATGCTTTTTAATGATTTCATTGCAATGACAGATGGGTGGCTCAGGGAATCGATGGGAAGTTGAAATTGATAGAGTATGATTTAAGCACTAATTACCCTTGAATTCATTTTCCTGAATCTTTAATCTTTCTTCTTTGAATTAAGGTTTAAAACCCACTGTGGCCCTATGTCAACGGAAGTGTATACGAACTGGGACTCTGGAGAGCAGTTATTGTTCAAGTAACTTCGGTAAGAAATAAAGACCAGCCTTTTCTCTTTAATCAGAAACTTGAGACTGCATGCTTAATCTCATAAGAATGGCCATGAATTTAACGGTAGAGGGTCAGTAACACTGTTCATTTACCCAAGAAAATAGTTTCTATACCCCAGGGTGTGTTGACTTGTATCATTAAAACTATTAGATTTCACAACTGAGAAAACTATGTATACAGAAAAAAAATTTTTTTTTCATATAAACGTAAATAATTTGACTCCTGTGGTACGTGAAACTTACTCTGTATATTCTGGCTGGCTGAGTTTTCCTGAAAAAAAAAAAAAAAAAAACCCGTATGGTTTTTTCTCACATATTTTTTCATGTACTGAGTATTTTTTCACACATCTATAATTCAACTTAAGTCAATTAGACACATAATCCAAGTTACATTCAGAAGCTGGCCTCTCCAAGAAATTCAAATACTTTCTCCCCAGCGTCCTTCCACAGATACTAAGTTAAAGCTTGGAAATCTGAAGTCTATTTGGAAATTCTTAGAAATCGGAACCTGAGGAGATATTACTTAATGATTTAGAATTTCTGAGTGCTTTTTCCAGTTTAAAAATGGCACCCTCTGTGAAAACCACGTGAGCGCAAAAGATACTCCATTTAATTATGTTGGTTATTTTTAACAGCAGCTTGAAAGGAATTTAATTTAAAAAAAAAAATGGCTTATCAGGGAAAGAAAGTTGCTACAGCCTAAATAGGTGACTTAAAACAAAGGGCCTCTCTAGAATAGGGTTTGCTTGCTTTTTCTGTGTCTTAAAGTGGTAACTGTCTGTAGCCCCAGACGAGCTATGTCGTAATGTAGGTGTGAAGATGTTGAAGACTTGGGGGCCACAGGTATTACTGGAGTTTGCATGCTGAAATTCAAATAACTGGGATACAAATTGCAAACAAATAGGGCCAGGTGCCACTGCTGGCACATCCAGTTTACAGTCTTCTGTAGGTGCTTCAGGAAATCTCTCTCCTTTGTCCCTTGGGAACCACCTCGTTTCACCCTGCTACAAAATGACATTTTTCAGTGAGCATCCATCACCAGGAAATCAATGTCATCATGGTCAGAATTCTGATTTTATGAGCTTTGCATACTATGTAAAGAAGAGGTCATATTGGCCAAGTCCAAGACTTGATTCATTCCATTGATTGGGACTCGTTTATATGGCAAACAGACTAAGGACTATTGCTAGTGCCGATTGGTTCACAGTCTGGGTTGGTGAAGCCTCCCAGGGGAAGTTTGTAGTCATCACAATAACTGGGGAATGATACTGGCTTTTATGGGCAAGGACAGGGCTGGTAAAAATTCTTTCAATGCAAAGCTAGTCCTGTACCACAAGGAATTGTTTCTCCAAATGCTGAAAGCACTCGTTTGAGAAACACAGCATCTTTGCTTCTGTGGCTCCGTGTTGAGACCCTTCTCTCTACTGAGTGTCCTAAATGATAAAAGAGTTACATAATGAAAAGCAATGGATTTTTTTTTTCTGTACCAAGTCAACCATTTCTACATGTATAATTCAGGAAAAGCAACTAAATTTTGCTAGAATTTTTTTTAAGCAAGAAAATGTTTTAAATTATACCTCCATTTTCTACATTGACTTATTAAATGAGCTTAATAGAGTGGATAAGGAAGAGAATGTTAAAGACACAGAGAAAGATAGAGATTTACTGATAATCAGAAATGGGTATCCTAGGGATGAATCCAAGGTTCAAGTTTTGACCTGAATTTTAGAGACAAATATACAGGATCGAATTTGAGAGCTGTAGTAGAGCCTTTTCTTTAACTTAAACATTTTTCATATCTGAAACTCAGAATGTAAAATTGTTTTTAGCCCTGCTTACATTTACCTTCACTGTCATTATATCAAAAACTGCTGTCTTCTGCAGTATTGGCCGGCACCGTTATCACAACTGTCGCTCGAGGTGGGAGCCTGCATGCCACGATCTCAATCATCAACATCTACAAAGAGGGAAATCTGGCGATTCAGCAGGCAGGCAAGAGCATGAGTACTAAGGTCATCGTGGTCTGCAAGCATTGCCCTCTCCTCAAAAGAGGTGAGTAAGGAAGAAAAACCTTAGTCCTTTTCCTAAGGGAGCTCAGGGACGGAGAAGGCACAAGTCATGGTGCAAGTCGGGGATATTTTCATGCCATAGCTACTCTCATTGTGTGCCGTTGAGTCAATTCCAACTCATAGCGACCCTATGTGACAAAGTAGACCTGCCATATAGGATTTCCTAGGCTGTAATCTTTATGGGAGCAGATGGCCAGGTCTTTTCTCCTGCAGAGGGGCTGGTGGGTTTGAACTATTGACCTTGACCTTACAGTTAACAGCTGAGTGCTTAACCATTGTACCACCAGGGCTCTACCAAACCTAAAACCCAGTGCCGTGGAGTTGGTTCCAACTCAGAGCAACCCTATAGGACAGAGTAGAACTACCCCATAGGGTTTCCAAGGCTGTAATCTTTATAGAAGCAGACTGCCATATCTCTCTCCCTTGGAGCCACTGGTGGGTTCGAACTGCCAACCTTTTGGTTAGCAGCCAAGCACTTAACCACTGCTCAGGGCTCCTTCCTACAGCTCTAGCAAAGTAAAATCAGGGCTGATATATCGGCCACTTCTGGTATAGATAGAAGGCCTTGGATGTTGGCAGAATTGGGCTCTAATCCTAGTTCTTGATAACTTGTGGAAGAAGAGGTAGTGGAAATAATAAATGAACTAGGATGAATGAGTCCAAGAAGCATGTGAAGATGGATCAATAGGGAAAAGATGCAGTGGGACCGGTTCAGGGGAAAGAGGTCTTAGACAAGTGCTCTGAAGGTACCGATGCTATATTTAGAAGAAAAGACTAGCAAGCAACAGGAAATGCAGAGCTGAAGTTCATTAGCGAGAGGTACATCTGGGCTAGATTTAAAGATTTGGGAAGCATTTGCAGAGATGGGACCTTTAAGCCCATGGATGGGAATGAGTTTATTAAGAGAAATCATGGAAAAAGGAAAGTGACTCCAGAGCCAGGGGCACATGACTTTTTTTAAATGAGTTTTTTTAACTTAAAAAAGCAATGTATGTTCCACAGGTTTTAAAAAGGTTAAATAAGTAGAGAAGGGTAGAAAATAAAAAGTGAAAATTCCCTTTCCTTTTCCCCTGAAGTACTGTGAAAAGTCCCTTCCAGAAAGTTTCTATCCATATAAGGTGCATGCACATTTACATGAATGGGATCATACCATATATGCTCTACTGTAACTTTCTTTCCCACATAATGTATACGTAGACATCTTTCCATAACAGCCCATATAGATAGATCTGCCTGGCCTACCAAGCTTTCATTGGCTCAGAACCACTATGATGACAATGAGTGTCCACAGAGGGAGGATTATGCAAGAGAAAAAGGAAACATGAGGAGAATTAATGAGGTGGTAGTACACATGAGAGAATATGACATTTTTTTGAGGCAAAATAAATCTTCAGAGTTGAACCCAACACACCACAGCCCAGATCCCAGTCCAGGTCTAACCTAGCTAGACACACTGATGTATAAAAAAAAAATAGTGTAACAGATATAAATACATTTTAATCCTTATTTTTTGCACAGAACTATAAGAAGGCAAAGAAGTGTATGACCTATCCACGTCCTCAAGAAGCTTACAAAGTGTAAATACTTGAGATGTTGAGAAAAGTTCAAAACAAACAATAGAAGTGTAGAGATTAGTTGCCAAATATGTGGAAGTCTGGAAGCATGACAGGACTAAGGCCATCTAAGGATGGTGTGTCAGGAAGCACCGGGGGCTCTGGAGGGAGGAGAGTCTTCCACATTAACACAGCGCATTGTCCATCGAAGGCACCCAGTAAATGCAGCAGACCTCTGGCACTGCAGAGCGGGACAGGAATTCAGATCTCACACTGTCCAACGCCCTTGTGTTGGCAGAGCTGGACTATGTTACTTAGTTGAATTTAGCTCTTTGCTGATTAGAGCCTTAAGCCAGATTTTAGTCTAGATAGAACAAACGTACAATTACATCATTTATAGAATAGAACATTTATCCTGAAGTAACTTATAGTCTTAAGGTGCGTCAAACCAACACGTATAAGGGAATTTTAATCTTATGTTCTCTTTCTTTAAGGTCTAAATTATATTATCACGGGCCAAGTGGATGAAGACGGGCGAGGCAAAATCATGCCAAACAGCTTTGTCACGTTGTTCAAGACCAAGAATCAGAAGCTCCTGAATGCCTTGGAAACTAAGCAGTGTTAACAGGGAACTCTGAAAAGTTACACTGTGTTCTGTCTTTGTCTTTGAAAGATCTATTTTCTCTCAGTAGGAAAAAAAAAAAAGCAACTTATGAAACTAAATATTGAGCATTCCAGTGATCAGACTGATTTACTCTTCAAATGATGTAGGTGCTAGACCTCCGATATCGCTGATGGAGTTCTGTGCCTGCGCCAGGAGGAGCAGAAGTCTGATTGAAGACCTGCAGGCTTAGTGTTGCGATAGGAAACTGAATGTATCAAGCATTGACAGCTTGGAAGGAGTTTATTTATACATCTCTGTCAAAGGGTTTTTGGAAATGAATTGTGTGAAGATATTAAAAAAAAGATTTTTTAAGTGCAATATTTATAATGATATTTGTTTTACCTTTAAGCATTTGCTCTGAGGTGTTACATTCTTTTCTCTTGCATTTTAAAAAAAAATCAATGCTTAATAAAAAGTATTTTAAAATGATTATATAGCAGCCATTAAATGTGTTTTTACAGAAAGTGGAACACTGTAAAAAGAATAAAACAAACACACAAAACGGTTACCTTTGAGTCAATTCCAAAGTATGGTGTGACCCCATGTGTTACAGAGTAGAACTGCACTCCACAGGGTTTTCAAGGCTGTGAACTTTCAGAAGCAGATTGCCAGGCCTTTCTTTCAAGGCACCTCTGGGTGGGTTCGAACTGCCAACTCTGGGTTACTAGTTGAGGATTTAGCAGTTTGTGCCAGGCAGAGTCTCCAAAAAGAATACTCTTATTTACATATAAGGTTGTCTTTGTATCAGTTCATACTTCGCTGAAAGAATTGGCATTCTAAGACTTTCAGGGACTAAATGGGCCCAGTAATGTAATTAGACTGTAATTCTCTGCAGAATCAGAAACTGTTGAGCTAGAAGATGTCCCTCGGGGATCTGGTCCATCTTTGTTTTGTAATTGAAACTGAAGCTCAGGTATATTTAGTGACTTGCCCAGGGCTCACATCTCCTACGAGGCAGAGCAGGAACCAAGTTTAGGAGACTTAACTCTAAAAACGGAGTGGGGGCAGTGTCTGACCTGTTCTCACTTCACAAGGGGAAGGAGAATCAAGATCAACAGCCCAAGGCTGATTCCTATGAGGCGAAGGTCAGACACGCCTCTTCTCTCCACCATCTTTACCAATTCTGACACCAAGCCTTCCTCCCACGGCACTGCTTCTCTGCTGGGTTCAAAAATTCATTGCAATGGCCACACAGAACTCACAGACCATACTCACGATTATGGGGTATATTAGGGAAGTAACAGGTTACTATTGAGGCTCAGGAACACTCAGGATACAGTTCTTCTGTCAGGACAGCCTCTTTTCAGCTATGCTTGCGGGCACACCTCTCTATGGCCCTAGGCCTCTGCCTTGCTCAGGCAAGTGTTACAAAGCTCTTTTGTTGTTTCTGTTGTTGTGTGCCACCGAGTACATTCCAACTCATAGTGACCCTATAGGACAGAGTGGAACTGACCCATAGGGTTTCCAAGGAACAGCTGATGGATTCGAACTGCCGACCTTTTGATTAGCAGCCTGAGCTCTTAACCACTTTGCAAAGCTCTTTTAGCTCCTGCCAATAAGTCCCCAGAGGCACCCCAGGTACTCAGCTTTCTCACTTTGTGGGCTGGGAAGCCCACTGCGTGGTCTCCTGCCTGTCTCTCCTGCCACCACTTCTCACCATCTTCAGGGTTACAGCTCGCTCACTCTCTCTGTCTCCTGGTTCCAGGAGCTTCTCAGGACAGGGATCCTGGGTCCAACAGTCTCTGCTCCTGACTGTTCTTCCTTGGTGGTGGTGGGATCCTCTCCCGCCTCTGGGTGGCTCAGTTCAAGCCAAGCAGGATGGAAAACCGACCAATTCCCTTGGTGGGCCACAATTGCATTATTTGCACAGTGCCACCCAAGCCCTTGGGTTGGAGTTACAAGACCATGGCCTGACAGGTCACACAAAAGCGATCCATCACACCACAACTCCAAACCCAATGGCTTGCTGCCATTAGATGAAGCTCTCCCTACCCAACTAGCAAGCCCTCTTATCCTCACTCACAGAGTTCAGTACTTGTTTTGTTAGCCTAAATCATAATTGGTCACTTTATAAACCTTGAAATTAGAAGTGAGCCTGATGTTCCTACACTGTTCATCCCCAGTTAACTGAATCAGAGTGTATGTCATTGCCTTTGAAAAAATCTAGTTTCACTTAGTAGTGGAAGAACTGCAAAGAGACTCCCATTATTCAAAAAGAGATGATTAAAATGCAGCTGTACTTGCAATAGGGTTTGGCAACCAGCCGTCTAGGAGGTTGCAGGCCAGGGGCTGTGGAGGAGAAGACAACCATCCATAGCCAAAGGAGGTAGAGAGAACATCAGGGATGAACAAAGATGTGGGTCACAGGGTCTTCCATAACAGAAACAAAGTTTTAGAAATAAGGGAAAATACCTTTTTGGGTGAAAACTGTAATTCACAGCCCTAGGGATGACCAGACATTCAAAGAGCAGCAAAATAGGAGTCTGTTACGGATTGTGTCCCCAAAAAATGTATGTCAAGCAGCATGCTTGTCTGCTTCCCACTTTTGTCCTTTTGAATATATGCCGAATAAAACTTTCTTTTTGCTTTAAAAAAAAAAAATGTATGTCAACTTGGCTAAGCCATGATTCCCAATATTGTGTGGTTGTCCATCATTTTGTGATCTGATGTGATTATCTTATGTGCTGTAAATCATAACCTCTATGATGTTAATGAGGCAGAATTAGAGGCAGTTAAGCTAATGAGGCAGGACTCAATCTACAGGATTAGGTTGTATGGTAAGTCAATCTCTTCTGAGATATAAAAGAGAATCAAGCAGAGAGGCAGGGGACCTCACATGACCAACAAAGAAGCACCGGGAGCGGAGCGTGTCCTTTGGACCTGGGGTCTCTGCACTGAGAAGCTTCTAGGCCAGGGGAAGATTGATGACAAGGACCTTCCCCCAGAACTGACAGAGAGAGAAAGCCTCCCCCAGGAGCTTGTGCCCTGAATTTGGACTTCTAGCCTTCTAGACTGTGAGACAATAAACTTCTGTTTGTTAAAGCCATCCACTTGTGGTATTTCTGTAACAGCAGCACTAGACAAATAAGACAAAGTTAAAAAGGAAGAATCCCTCTATTTTGGCAGCTGAGTGAGCATAAGGAAGCAACCAATGAGGGCTGGCTGACAAGGTGGGGAATCCTTCCTAAACTCTCCCACTGAGATGGCCATCAGTGCCAGAGAAATCACCAGCTGAGAAAGTGGATAACCTTCTCAAGGCAAGTGATTTGCTTTTAGAATGCACATTATGGGTCTTTGGAGTGATTTCTAAGGATTTCAGCATTTCTTCTCTCTTAGTAGAATCTTCTTCTTGGTGCGTTACAGGCAGCATATTTGTAGGTATTGGCCTCCTGCATTACCAGTGGAAAGACTTCCATGGGTTTCTGAGCAGGGACTTGAGTCGCAGCAAGGTAAAAATGTCATACCACTGACACATCTGACCCAACACTTAGAACTATTTAGGTGCTTAAAAAACTCAAACCAGTCGTGGTCAAGTCAAATCCAACTCATGACGACCCCATGTGTTACAGAGCAGAACTGCGTTCCACAGGGTTTTCAGTGACTGACGTTTTGGAAGTAGACCACCAGGCTTTTCTTCTGAAGTGCCGCTGGGTGGACTACAACCTTCAACCTTTCAGTTAATAGCCCACTGCTGGACTGTTTGTGCCACCCAGGAACTCCATATTTAGATGATTAGTGGTTAATAATGTATGACACCAGTTTGTCTTCTAATTAAATTATTCAAAACATAGCAATGATTAAGCTAAATAGTGAAGCTGCTCTTTCTAGCCCAATAACCATTCTTTAATTCTTTCTTGTTTATCAAATCATTTATTTTGACTGAACTTCAGTTTCCTTAGTTATAAATTGAAGGCATTAGATTAGATGACTTCTGGGGGTTCCCTAATATTTTCTCTTTTAGGAATTAAAAACAAGATTCCTTTTTAAAGACCTGGTAGCTTTGTGACAGCAACAAGCTAAACCATAGGCCAGGTAGTTTAACTAGTTGATCAGAGAGAACCAGGGAAAGAGAAGCTAAGGAGAACCCTCCAGAGAACTGAACAAACCCAAAATCTGGCCTAAAAAACTATAGCAGAATCCTGATCGAAAGGAGAAAAATGTAGAACAGAATTTCAAATTCTCATGGACTCCAGACTTTCTGGAGCCATAAAGGCTGGATGAATCCCTGAAACTATTGCCCTGAAATAATCTTTAAACCTTAAACTAAAAATATCCCCTGAAGTCTTCTTTTTTTTTTTTTTTTTGGTTTTATATTTAAAAAAAAAATTTTTTTTATTGAACTTTAGATACACGTTTACAGAACAAACTAGCTTCTCATTAAATAATTAGTACACATATTGTTTTGTGACATTGGTTACCAACACCGCAACATGTCCACACTCTCCCCTTCTTGACCTTAGGTTCCCTATCACCAGCCTTCCTGTCTCCTCCTGTCTTCTAGTCCTTGCCCCTGGGCTGGTGTGCCCCTTTAGTTTCGTTTTGCTCTGTGGGCCTGTCTAATCTTTGACTGAAGGATGAACCTCAGGAGTGACTTCATTACTGAGCTAAAATGGTGTCTGAGGGCCATACTCTCGGGGTTTCTCCAGTCTCTGTCAGACCAGTATATCTGGTCTTTTTTTGTAAGTTAGAACATTGTTCTACATTTTTCTCCAGCTCTGTCCGGGACCCTCTATTGTGATCACTGTCAGAGCAGTCAGTGGTGATAGCTGGGCACCATCTAGTTGTGCTGGACTCAGTCTGGTGGAGGCCATGGTAGTTATGGGCCATTAGTCCTTTGGACTAATCTTTCCCTTGTGTCTTTGGTTTTCTTCATCCCCCCCTTGCTCCAGACGGAGTGAGACCAGTGGAGTATCTTAGATGGTGGCTCTCAAGATTTTAAGAACCCAGATACTACTCACCAAAGTAGAATGTAGAATATTTTCTGTATAAACTATGTTATGCCAATTGAGCTAGATGTTCCCTGAGACCATGGTCCCCACAGCCCTCAGCCCAGTAATTCAGTCACTCAGGGAGTTTGGATGTG